TCATCACTCTCTGCCCCGGTTCTCCAACTCGCCTGCGTTTTAGGCCGTGCTCCGGGTCCCCGGTCACTCCTCTCCTCTGCACTCCACACCGATTCCCTTCGGGGTTGTGATTCCTCTATCAAGGGGGCCAGCTGCTCCATCACCCTAGGCCGTGCTCCGGGTCCCCGGTCACTCCTCTCCTCTGCACTCCACACCGATTCCCTTCGGGGTTGTGATTCCTCTATCAAGGGGGCCAGCCGCTCCATCACCCTCGACATCACTGCGAGGGTGGTTTCCATGGATGCCACTTTTTCCTCCAGATACTCCAACCTCTGCGGGGAGGGGAAATCTAGCCCACTGCTTTCTCTCGCTGCCGCCTCGGCCCCCTTCACTCGCCTCTGGGTTACTCCGTTGGGCCGGGCATAAGCAGTCGATGAAGCCAAGGCAGCTACTCTCTCCAGCTCCTCCTCCGCATTCTCAAAAGGGGAGTCCGGCTCTCCCCCTGCTGCTGGAATTTCCTCCCGTTCCATAAGGGTACCTCACCGCAGCCGCGGGATGGTACCGGCAATCCTGGCTTAATGTAAGCTCACAGCAGCCGCTCCCAATAACGACACAGGACGCCAATCCGTAATCAATCAGGAACTTTTACTGCTGGACATTCATACACGAAGAAAGCCAGGATTGGCCGGCAGCCGCAGTTTAACCCTTATATACCCTCCCTCACAATTGAATTCCCTTTTCCCGCCGGCCGAGAATCCCGCGCAATATTCCCCGCCAAATGCCAACTGCTTCCCCCCAAGGCCACCAGCTGCACATTCTTATCAGCAGTCCATGTCAGGATTCTGGTTTTTTGCGCCAAGACTCAAGGCCTGGAAACCGGTTCCTGACACTGTATACTTCTTTATAAACGAACCCGAATATAAGCCGAGAAAGAAGAGAAAACATTTATTATTTTACTCTATTATTATTGGAAGGATACATAAGCACATTTACATTGAAGAAAGTTAGAATAATGGTTTAATCAGAGTTGGGCAGTTTTATGTAAATATTCAAAAGCATTTAACCCACTGATGCCTCAATTAATGTAATTTTATTGGTATCTATTTTTATTTTGAAATTTACCAGTAACTGCTGCATTTCCCATGCTCGGCTTATACTCAATAAGCTTTCCCAGTTTTTGTGGGAAATTTAGGTTACATATCCTTCCAATAATCACCATAGTTTATTTTAACTGTGCATTTTGGGGAAAATGCTATGTGTATATGAATAAGGAAAAGTGGGAAAGAATGGCTTGGGAAGGGGGTGGACAAGAAGAACTGGAAACATGAGACAGTTGGAATGGAAAGGGGTGGTTGAAAAAGTATGAAAATGAGGTGGAAAGGAGTAGCTGGAAAAGTAGGACAGATTGGGGTGAGAAGGGGACACAGTGAAAGGAGAGGAGGACAGGAAGGCGCACACCCTCTCCTCTCTCGGCCCAGTGACCTAGCTGGGTTGCTGTGCGAAAGAGGTGAGGGTCTGGCGAGAAAGTGAGGAGCTGAAAGAAGGGCTTATTTCAGCCCCACACCTTCCCTCCAGGACCCTTACGCGAGTATAACCCAAGGGGGGCTTTTTCAGCCTTAAAAAAGGGCTGAAAAAGTGGGCTTATACTCGAGTATATTGTAATTGGCAGTTCTTCACTGAACTTCTCACAGACATGTAAACTATATTGATTGGTCAGGTCCTTGGGTTGTAAAACTCTTTTCACCTGCTTTTAAATATTTGTTTCTATTTTGTTGTTGGTGTTAAATTTTATTTTTGCAGCACGCATAAAAGTGATGTGTAAGAGCTAGCATAGTATAGTGGTTTGAGTGTTATACATGGAGTCTGGAGTCTCTGTTCTGCACTGGGTGATCTTGGTCAAGTCATGACAACACTATGCTAGGGTTGCAGTAAGTTGAAGTTGACAAGAAGACTTATAACAACAGCAACAATAGTAACATCATAATGCTTCAGATAAATAGAGAAGTGAATAAAAATATTACCATTGCACCACCCATATGGTGAGATCAAAATTCACCATATTTTGATCTCACACAGTGATGCACAGTGCCAATATATACAATACAAAATGTGTCATACAATTAGGGCATATTGATCTCATTCTATTCCTGTGAGAAATTAAAGTTCACCTTTACAAGTTTTCATAACACTTAGGGTGGCCTATAATGACAATAGGACATAAGTGTGTTTTTACTTTCTGTGTCAGGAGCAACTTGAGAAACTGCAAGTGGCTTCTGATATGAGAGAATTGGCCATCTGCAAGGACGTTGTCCAGAGGACACCTGGATGTTTTACCATCCTGTGGGTGGCTTCTCTCACACCCCCACATGGGAAGCTAGAGCTGACAGATGGGAGTTCACTCCACTCCCCAGATTCAAACTGCTGACCTTTGGGTAAGCAGTTCAACTGGCACAATGGTTTAACTGATTGTGCCACCAAGGGCTCCTGTGTTTTCACTGAATCCAGCTTTTAAAGGTTCTCTATTTCAAAATCAGGCTTAATTTGGTGACAAAACAAATACATTATAGAAGATACGTGTGAAGACCCTGTGTGTTTTTAAATATTTTTGCAGCCTCTACTTAATATTCTGTATTCAAAGCTGGAATGTCTTGAACCATCAAAACTACTTTGGAGTATCATACTAAAGTAAATGTTTATTTTTTGCACAATGGGCAATATGTCAAAAAACAAAGCTGTAGTCCTTTATTCAATTGTTTAGCCTCAATTGAATTCAATATTATTTACTTTTGAGGAGACATACAGAAGAGTGCACTGAGAAAAACATAATGTCATCTGGAAGAAAGCTCAGACTTAACAGGAAAATCTGTGATATAAGAAAACATTTCATTTTATAGTACAGCTGAGCTCTTGTAAAATGCAGTGTGCACAGGAAGGACGGCAGTGGAGTTAAACATCTCTGGAGATACTCTCCAAATAAAGCAAAATACCAAAACTGCTTCTGTAATGTAATGTAATAAGTGCTGTAGGGTGCAGATGCAGAGTGGAAAAAACTAAAGATTCTTATGTTTTATCTTCCATTTAGGAAAAGTTTCAAACTCTGTTCAAGAACAAAAATAGATGTGTATGTGTAATCCCCCCCCCCCCCCCCACACACACACACCCAAATATACATATATCGAGGATTCATTTGTAGACTAAGGATCTGATTTCTGGTGCAGTTGAGCAGGAGGACCTGAACACTAACATTAATCCCATTCAGCAGAGACAGATTTTAGGTATAACAATTTGCAACTGTTTGTACAACAGTAAACAGTATTAGCGAAATTTTTGAAAGCATTTTCAACAGCTACTGATGAATTATAGTTCCATGGTAACTAATTTCCAGACATAAAGTTGTCTGTTGCCCAGCAGATTGCTACAATGTTGGCAGCTAGACCAGGCAGTTTGACAAATCCAGGAAGATCTTGGCTTTACCATAGATTGACTCTGTGTTGGACACTGAAAAGTAAGATAGCATTCAAACAGAAATTCATTTTTGAAGATATCTCAGTACATAATCCTCATCTGACTCACAACGTAAAAGTTAATCAGTGCCCTGAAAATTCCAGTATATTAGGACATCAGTATCTGGGATTTCTTCCTATCAGTTGAACAACAGAAATTGTTGGCTTTGTTGTACTTACTAATAAAATGTCCATACATCTTTCTATTTATTAAGGTCATAATTAAGCACACTCCTATATATGATTACTTAAAATAAGTCCCTTCCTCTCTAATTCAGTGGGACTTTCGACTGTGTTGAATATATTCCCAGTTCAGATTTAAAGTGAAATTTATGCATGTTGACTTAGAAGAAAGCACCATGAATTCAAGGAGATTTGTTCCAAAGTACGTGTTTATAAGTTTGCATATGAGCTGCAGGTTTGATACAGCACTTGAGCCTTCATACTTAGGATTGCTCTGTGTGTATTAATGTTACCCCATTGCCTGTGGGTGACCCAGCAATCCATGTAAAACCGGGCTGTGGCACAGCTAGTTAGTAGCCAGCTACATTAAATCATTACTGACTGAGAGGTCATGAGTTCGAAGCCAGCCTGGGTTGGAGTAAGCTACCGACTATTAGTAGTCTAGCTTGCTGTTGACTTATGCAGCCCGGAAGACAGCTGCATCTGTCAAGTAGAAAATTTAGGTACTGCCTTATACGGGGAGGCTAATTTAACTAATTTACAATTCCATAAAAACTTCCAGCAGCTTGCAGAAGAATGAGGAAGTACTCCCGTCAAAGGATTCAGTATCACAAGTAAATGGAGAAGTGGCAGCTCTCCCTGTGGCTGGAATTGAGCATATTCTCATGAAGCCGGAAAAGCTGGAATGTTAAATTGCCTCTGGGTCTGTCTATATATGTTGTATGTCTAAAAGGCATTGAATGTTTGCCATGTATATGGGCATTGTAATCCGCCTTGAGTCCCCTGTGGGGTGAGAAGGGCAGAATATAAATACTGTAAATAAATAATAAATAAATAAAAATAAAACAATAAAACCCTAATTTATATAAAACACTCAAAAAACAATACTGTTTTGCTTTTGGAGCCTTGCAGAATCAAATAAAGTTTTGCAGAGCAGAAATTACTCTTAAATTGTAAAAGAGCTTACAATCATTGTGGCTATTAGCAGGCATGAAAACAACGTGGCATTATTGTTTTTATATGTCTTCAGGCTCACTCCAACTTAAGGCCAGACTGTCCTAGGGTTTTCTTGGCAAGATCTATTCAGAGGAAGTTTGCCATTGCCTTCCTTTTAGGCTGACAGAGTGTGACATGCTCAGTGGGTTTCCATGGCTGAGCAGGGGTTCAAATGCCTGTTTCCTAGAGTCCTTGCCTGGCTTTAAAACTATATAACATTCTAGCTTCTAGGCTGGTATACTATGATATATTACTATTATCATCTTCATGAATGCACATTATTCCAGGGAAGATTTTAATTGAATTCAAGTCTTTGCATTTTCCTTTTCTTCTGCTTAGAATGGCCAGCTGGAGTGTGTGAGGTGGATGGTGAGTGAAACAGAAGCTATTGCAGAACTCAGTTGCTCAAAAGATCACCCAAGCCTTATTCACTATGCAGGTTGCTATGGACAGGTATAGTTACATTTTACATGTTTTTTATTTTTAAAATACGTTTTTTATTGCAGACACAGGTAGAATAATAGCACAATCCATCACCATTTCACAATTATTATTTTCTTAGTGTTCTTATCCTTGCCTATTCCACCTTTATCTGCCACTTGTCTATCAATTTTACATCCCTCCCCCCTCCTGTTAATGCTACATAATCATTTCAAGTTATTTCTTTATTTAAAAAGGTATTTGTGTCTTAATATTTGCACTAAAATGCAATTTGTTTCATAAAGATCAAGTAGACAGAACATATTGTAAAGAACAAAAATAACTTTCTGGCCTTGCATCGCACATTTTAGTGCAAATATTAAGACACAAATAGTGTTCAATTCCCCTTGACATTAAGTCTAGTCATGTCCGATTCTGGAGGATAGTGCTCATCTCCATTTCTAAGCCAAAGAGCTGGCATTGTCCGTATATGCCTCCAAGGTTATGTGGCCAGCATGACTGCCTGGGGCACTGTTACCTACCTGCCAAAGCAGTACTTATTGATCTCACATTTACATGTTTTCTAACTGCTAGGTTGGCAGAGGCTGGGGCTAACAGTGGGAGCTTATCCCACTCCCCAGATTCGAATTGCTGACCTTTCGGTTAGCAAGTTCAGCAGCTCAGCAGTTTAAACCCCTGTGTCACCGGGGGCTCATTTCTATTTCTTGCACCAGTCATTAGTAAAAGCTATGCAGAATGGAACAATATTGTGAGATGGTTGCATTTGACCCAGTCTGCTGTCAGATCTTGAAATGAAGAAACAAATATTGAATACTTCCAACACACATGTGTTTGAAAGACACTTTAACTTACTCAAAAGTTACTCATGCAATAGATAACCCAGGTAAACATCAGAGTTGGCTAGAATGCAAGGGAAATATTTGTAAAAGGAAGAAGTATTTTTGAATTGATTCAACACACAATTATTTCCTCTAGCACTTGGCACACATGGTATCTAGTGTTTTTTAAGTAAATACTTCCTATGATGGGGAAGGTAAAAAAAAAAGGCAGAGAATAGGTCAATTGATGTCAGTGCTGCCCTGCATTGCTTATACAGGATGCTTTATTCTCGAGAAAACCTTATCCTGCCTCAGTTCCAAGTCTGTCTTCAGGAATATCCTTGAATCAAAAGAAAAGGGGTAAATGAGCCAGCTGAACGACTGCCAAGAAATGAGATCAGGAAGAGATGTGGATCAAACATATGTCTCCAAGAATGTATGGATTTTTAGAAACCTGTTCACATTAAAACCTTAGCCCTATTTATTGTCCCGCTCTTTAAGCCCAACAAGCAAACTCCTCCAACACATTTCCAGTATGTTTTTACTGTATATTATGTAGGTTCTGCAACACATTCAGCTTCAGACAGTTGTGTGTCCTCTTACAGCCTTTCTCCATTCCCTTCTCCATCAGTAAGCTATGCAGAAAACATACAGAATATGGAAATTAGCTTGAAAGTAAACCAGGGGGTCATACTTCCATGTAAGTGAGCTTAGAATTGAAGTATGAGAATATTTGGAGACTTCTTGTAGCTCAAAGAGATATTGTTCTAAAATAGATACAGAACTGGTGCACAAACTGACTAAGTTATCTTGTGCATGTACGTATAACATAATAGTACTTTTAAATATCTTCTTGACATATCTTTTTATGTTCATTTTTTTATAAAATGTAAAGTCTGTATGTTTGTGTAGTGTTCATTAAATGTACAGTCCATATTTTGTTATTTATGTGGCCTAATAAAGCTTTTTAGACTACTTGGGGTATGGAATTAATCTTATGGTCACTATAGCTCAAGACTTAATGCCCTGAAACATCAGATCCTGATTCATTTTGAAAGCTAGGCAGGGTCAGGCCTGGTTAGTACTTGGACTTGTCTGGCAAGGAATGGAACTGGTAAGGAATAACTGGTACTATATTTTAGAGGAAGGCTTTGGAATATTCCTTATACAGGAAAATCCTATGAGGTTCATAACTGCTGACTTGAAGGTTCATGCATAGTAAAGGTAGAGGTTTCCCCTGACATTAAGTCTAATTGTGTCCGACTCTGGGGGGTGGTGCTCATCTCCATTAATAAGCCGAAAAGCCAGCGTTGTCCATAGACACCTCCAAGGTCATGTGATCAGCATGACTTGATGGAGTGCTGTTACCTTCCCACAGAAGCAGTAACTATTGATCTACTCACATTTGCATGTTTTCGAACTGCTAGGTTGGCAGATGCTGGGCCTAACAGCAGGAGCTCACCGCTCCCCAGATTCGAAATGCCAGCAAGTCAGCAAGTTCAGCAGCTCAGTGGTTTAATCCACTGCACCTCATGCATACACACCCATATATATTGTACAGAGTATAGGTATCCCTGCATTAATATATTAAATATTTCATTTACCTATAGGAGAAAATCCTTCTGTGGCTTCTTCAATTTATGCAAGAACAAGGGATTTCTTTGGACGAAGTTGATCAGGATGGCAACAGCGCAGTCCATGTAGCTGCCCAGCAGGGATATCTGGGGTGTATACAGGTAAAACAATAAAACTGCATTTATTTCAATGAGATATTTTATTTATAAAATCCTCTACTGAATCATCTGCCATGACTAGGAAGCCAGCATCCCATGTAAGACCAAATTAACCTTAAAAATGAACATAGTAGGCATCACTATACTCATTAACAACCTCATCAGAGCACCTGCCAGCTCCCATTATGCGCAGGTACTTCAGGCGGGGCTCCGTGCTCAAAGGGAAGGTGAAGTGAACCATGCTATAGGGTGGCAACATGAGATGCTTTCTATGTTCTATCAGGAATAATGGAGGGAAACTGGGCAGTCAAATCTCCCCCCTCCCCAGTGAGATGGTGGCTTGGATAAGTCGGGCGATGTGGGGCATGGGCAATGGGTTCCCCATGCCCCCCGACATGCACTGCTGGAATTGCCATGATGTGTGGCGATTCCAGCAGCCTTTGGGATGAGGTCCTAAAAAGACTCAAAATATCTGAAAAAAGCAGTGCAATTAAACAATGGGAAACTACATCATATGGAAAAACCTTGGTCATTGTAATTCTAATACAACTCTGGTGTGGCCTTTTAGGCTTCACTTTAGCCTTCCTTACTTGTCTATAGAATATAGTGGAAGTGAGGCAAATATATATGACTGCTCTTTTTGAGACTGACACATAGCATATGTATTTTCTTAGTGGTGCATTTCATTGTTAGACTTGCAGCCGTCTAGCCCAACATGCTGCTCAGGAAATCCAAAGCAATGACATTCTCTTTGTTTGAAAACATCCATTGAAAAAAGACTGCCATCCCTTCATTCATATTAAATGCAAAAAACACCCCAAAATAAACAATAATCAGGAGAGTCTACTGTTAAAATGAGAATAATAAGAGCTTAGAGTATTATATAACATCTGAAGCAAGGAAACCCATTTGTTTCTCTGGTTACGTGGTCTAAAGATTTATAGGTGCAGAGAGAAAACACATTTCTCTGAAGGATGAATGTTTGATTTAATAGTTCAGATATTGAGGGAGACAGCCTCGAAGATCCTCTACCTTTATATTTGAAAGCATCTGAAGGTGTTCCAGGAATATGTCTAAATGTTAGATTTTTATTTTCATTTGAACCTCCTATCTATAATTTATCCTACAATTAGGTGCACTGCAAATGATAGTGCTGCCAGCCAAATACTGCAGCCAAATACCTTACTCATCAAATTGTCAGCAGAATTTGCAAAGCACAGGAGGAAAAATGCCATAAAATGCTTGTGTTGGTTGACTATATACAAACTGAAAATTTCTTTCTAAGACTAGGTTTTTTTCCATTATTAATAAAGCGCTCATAACTATTACTTAATGCTTTCCTGGGAAACATGCATTCATTGATTACATATCAATTACCATAAGGGTCCTTTTTCATTCCCTCCCCCAGTTTTCTCTAAAAATGGAAAATCATGCCCCTAGAAATCACCCAGAAGCCCGATTCCCTTTTCGAACATGCCACCACTGCAACATGAATGGTGAGGCAAGTGGTAGATCCTGGCTGTGGAATTGAACCCAGACTACCAAAAGCTATAATTTTCCTGATGTATTGAGATCTAGAGGAATCTAGAAGACTGGCAGAGTTTAGTCATGTATTTAAAATGTGAGTTTGTTACACTGTTTAAAGGCAATGCCTCCTTTCATATGTTTTAATTTCTATGGATCCCAGATTTACATAATTCCAAAAAAATATGATTTCATGATTTTGGAATTATTGAAGCTAATTTTGAAGTAGATTGTCCTCAACTATTTAATTTCCTAAGTGCAGCATTTTGGACCTCTAACAGTGCAGCCCTTTACATGTCTTCTCAGAAGTGAGTCCCATTACATTCAAATTATACTTAATTCTAGGCAATTATGCATGGGATTGCAACTGTACTTTCATTGAACAACTAAATTTATCACCTATTCAAATTGCAATGGAATCAAATAAGGATAATAAGGATAATGCAATATGACTGCAGCATGAGATAAAGAATGGTCACAATGGGGAAATGAAACTTAGCCACCTATATCAATGTCAAGGTATCTAAACACAAATTATTCAGAAGGTACTATTGAGAAAGATAGATAGATTATATGCGCATGCAGAAGTTTTAAACATAAAAGCCCTCCTGGATTATCTACCATCTACTTCAACTTTCTATTTTTAAAGGTTTTAGGCCTGATGTCAGGCTTCCTCAAATGGGTGCCCGTCAGATGTAATTTCACTCCCATACTAGCTAAAAACTACAGTTGATGTATGCATTGAGCAGCATGTTGGGAAAGACCTAACTGGGGAAACTCATATAAGTTGGGCATGAAGATAAACATATTTTTCCCATGCTTTTGTTTGCTCAAAGCATTTTAAATCTTGCAGCCTCTACCAATTTGCTGTTATGCCTCAGGATACTCAGAAATTTGCTAGCATTGTATTTTAATGCGTAAATGGCCAAGTAGCTCTTCCTGAAACTAAACATAGACCCCAGTATTTTTGATCCATATATTGTAATGACGTTCTCAGAACAACAAAATGTGTATAAAACCCATACATTTTACAGTGGAAATATGTGTGCAAAAATGCATCCAGTTGAACAATGTCTTAAAATAGTGGCAATTTCTGAAATAGTTGCACAGAAATGCATATAGACAAAAGGGGGGAAAGGCTTACAGTCTAAGGTGAATTTGAGTCAGCATAAGTTTGCCGCTAAAACCAAAAACCACAGAAAACATTAACAGTTCATACTCTTCAAATTAATATAGACTTTTAATAGTCATTTGTACTGTTGGCCATCACACCAGACTAACCATTACCTTTGTTGTAAAGGATTCCATAGGCTAATTGAATTGAGTAAAATGTATTTATCTTGACTGTACTGAACTCAGTACCACTCAATGTTATCATTCCTTTTAATACTCATTTATGTATGTTCAGACTCTGGTGGAATATGGAGCAAATGTCACTATGCAAAACCATGCTGGCGAGAAACCTTCCCAAAGTGCTGAAAGGCAGGGGCACACCATGTGTTCACGTTACCTTGTAGTAGTGGAGACATGCATGTCATTGGCATCCCAAGTTGTGAAGCTAACCAAGCAACTCAAAGAGTAAGTTCTCATTTGTAACAATGGTTTCCTTAAAACAGTGGTTTTATTTCTCCCTCTCTCTTCATGGTTCTTCTCATGAAGCATGCAGGCTCTTTTGGCTGTTTCACACTTCAGCTGGTCTCCTGTATGTTCTTTTTGGGGTATCGTGTATTAACGTCTCCTTATTTCCAAAATACCCAAAGCCTTCCCACTCCAACTTACTGAACAGCTTCTGAAGTCCACATCTTCTTTTTTGTGGGAAGTGTGCAGGAAAGTGTGTCATCATCTTATCTTTTGTGGGAAGTGTGTCATCATCTTATCTCTGCAGCTAGATGATATCAACACTAGGATCCCTCAGAAGTCCCAGTGATGCTATACAGGCAATAAAGCTTCAGTGGGGATCCCTTTTACCCATGATAACTTTTTCAGAAGTGATTTTCCCTTCCGACGGATAGATTTCTCGCACTTCCTGTTATCTCACCCCTGTTCTTAACTATGAGTTGTTTGTAAGTCAGAAGTTTGTAACTCGGGGACTTCCTGTCATCATTTTGCATCTGACTTTGGTGACGTAGCCAAATGCATCTGTGGTACTACCTGTTCCACACAAAATCATGAGGGGAAGGGACTCAGAGACTGTTTAGTAAGTTGCAAGTGGTATATGGTTCAGCTTACCATGCGTCTGCATGTGGACCTACTAAGCAACACTGAGCCATATCGGATTGCAACCTTTATGTGGCAAATGTGCTGTCGGTATGCCCTGGAGTCAACAAAATAATGTGTGGGTAACAGATGTACCCTAGTAAGCAAGCAGTAAACATACAATGTCAGTTGGATATCAACTATGTGCTACACATTTTCCCTTCAAACATTATTTATGTTTACCTTGTGACATCTGTTGAACACGCTGAAAACATATTCCCTGGATAAACTGTGATGGAAATCTTATTATCCAGTCAGTAAGGAAATGGAAGAAGTAATCTAGGAGTGTTCCCAGTGCTAGAGCTGTGGACATAAATGGAAATTTGTGAAAGAGCAGAAGGCTTTTCGCTGTGGAGATTTTGTAAAAGTCATCTCATCAATAAGACAACCCTTTAATGCTTTAATTTTTAGAAGACTTGCTTTCTTTCTCCTATTGTATCCATTTATCAAATAAACATCTGTTTGTTTGATGTCTCCTTTGTTTTAACATGGTACTACCAAAAGGCAAGATATAAGTGTAATATGTTGATATTGAATAACATGTTATACCTGGTTATTCATGATACGTTGATCATGAATATGAACAATCCATCTATCATTCCATTTGAAATAGCTTCTTCCATGTTCTTTCTTCTCATTTGCCTGGAATCCGGAATTACATTCAGATATGTGAATTCAAGACTAGGTGCATGATATGGATTGGCTTCAGTTTCTTTTCTTTCATACCGAGTTCCCCACTCCTTCCATTTCACCAGTGATGAAGTGATATAGGCTAGTGTTCCAAATCTGATTTTGCTGTTTATGGGGACAATAATTCTCTAACTGGTTGAAGCTTCCAATAGACAAAATAACTGCAGGTAGAAAACAGAGAGGCAGGAACAACTCTGATGGCAGAAAAGGGGGACATCCATTAATGGTTGGATATACTAGCCAAGCTAGCTGGGAGGTCCTAGCAGTTGTAATCCAAAAACATAACATTTCCAGACTGTGGTATCACCTGGGATCTCATCACATTGATGTTTTTCAGTTCCCTAGGACACTTTTAGGACGTTGGGAGGATGGAACCTGCTGGAGCCCATCACATGATGCAGGGCTCCTTCTGGCGGGGTTCTGTTCTCCCAGCATACTGTATTCTCATTGACAAGAATGGGGCAAGTGCGGTGATAAGCCAGGATGTGACACTGTGGGATGGGAAAAACGCTGATGCAGGCAACGTGGGGCAACTGTTTGCCCCACTGCTCGCCTGTTTCACTATGCTGCCTGGTGAATCAACCCGCTATCATCTGCTTTTTGGACCTTAATGTGACAAGGTCCCTGGTTTGAGGTTCAAACTTGCAACAGAGTGAATGTTGGCTTTCCTTCCTTCTTTCTTTTCTTTCTTTCTTTCTTTCTTTCTTTCTTTCTTTCTTTCTTTTTTAAACCACAAGGCGATGCTGACATATGGTTGGGCTGATCTTTCAAATAATGTAAGGAAATGTGTAGGCAAGAGGAAGGAAGGAGAAAAACTGAAGGAAGGCATGATCTTTATAAAACTGCATCTGGATTCTACAAGGGAGGAAAGCATATTGGTGTCCCATCTAACATATTTTCGTGTTTTCCAGACCCTTCACTTTGCCAGTGCGAGCATTTGCTTTTTGTAAATATAGTAAATACAGTCTGCGTGTGACAGGCTGAAGCAATGTGGATTCTTTTTGACTCTCACACTGTCAGTGCTAAAGCTCTGGACTTGAAAAGTACGTTAATGATCTTACATCCTTTGAGCCAGGAAATTATCCACTTACATATTCCACAGCTGTCAGTTTTGTTTTTCTTATTAAGGAAGTCATTTTGAAAGTAAAAGCAGTAATGAGAAGGGGGCTGTCCATTTACTTGATTGGTAGCATTGCCATGTGACCTCAAATAGGGTGGGAAGGAAGTTCAATGGGGAAATTTAGCCTCGCAAAAGTAAACATTATCCATGGCCAAATTTGGGGCAGGAAGGGAAGGAAGTTTAATAAAGGCAGAATCCTCAAGCAATACAAACGGTTGTTTCTGACTCTCTCCTAATTCAGGAAAGTGCCCTCCCCATCCTTATTTAGTGGGCTGATATATTTGTGGTTATAAATGTAACTATTAAGCCACACTAACACTACAAAAATGGTACTGATATTCATCATTAAGTCACAAGTGCAATATAACTTGGTTAAATCATTGCTGTGGTAGAAATTAATTACACTGGCCAACACACATTATGGTGCCTCAAGTCTTAGACCTGTTTCTGTGTTTATCTGACTTGTGGATTCCAAAAGTGGCACCAGTTTTCGTCTATCAGCTCTAGTTCTGAGATTCAGAACATATGCCATATACCAGTCTTCATCTGCTCACGCATTAAAAACCATGATAACTGTATCTAAGAAACTAGAGCTGATGTGGTCTATCCAATGTGGTTTTCTGAATCAGTGCCCCAAATAACCCCAGGAACAAGCCAAACAGCCAAGACACCAACATTTTTTTGGTTGGGCTATGTTATTTATAACTTGGCCATCTGGGGTGATTGTGCATCTCTGCCTGGCTGAAAGGGGTTGGTCTGGATGCACTTTGAGGATCTCTTCCAACTCTAATGAAGTATAGACTATCTGGGAGTCCAGTGGAGTCTTCTTTTCTGGAGATTTTTGAATGGCTGTCTTTTGGGAGGGCTTTGATTGTGTCTTCCTGCATGATTGAAGGGGGTTGGAGTAGATGCCTTTTGAAAGCATCTTCTAATTCTGTGCCCCTCCCCTGAGCCCCTACTTACTCTCATTCAAGTTTTCCTCTTCTTCATCCACATTTATTCTTCCTCCTCCTCCTTCCTCCCATGGTGAGATGGAGAGCCAAGTACGACAAGGATGAGGATGATGGTGAGGCTTTGGGCTCGGGCTCAGTGCTGCCTGAGTGACTGCCACTGCTGCTGCCTCACACTTTCTCCAAGCAGCTGCCAAGCAGCCTGTGTTTTGGGGGGCAGGTGGGAGTAGCATGTTTAATTCAACACATCTGTGCACTACAGGCACCACACTAATGTGTTGCAACACACAGTTTGGAAAGTTCTAGTTTAGTATAAAATATGTTGTCCTTCATGCATGAGAATTGGTCCCATAAACTTCCACCTTTATTTCTGTTTGTTGAGCAACTTTCTCAGTGAATATTGATGAGCATTATATGTAATCCAGCTACCAACAGCATTCTCTAGGGGAAAAACAGAGAAGACAATTCTCTTCTCAAGTCACGGTCAAACATGAGTTTTAGAGAACTAATTCCAAATTTGCTGTGAATTTGGGTTTAATAGGGCACAGGTAAGCTAATTGTGGTGAGTCCCAGAGCTCCATCACAGTGCTCCTTAGTATTCTAATCTTACAATTTACACCAGAGTCTCTACTAGTAATAAATAATTTATACAAGCCAAGCAGCTTTCAGAAGGTACAATAGAGAGATCACTGTGTTCCCACTGGAATTAGAAGCAATTTGCAGAACAGAGACCTTCTTTGTGTATTTTCGTATTTTTGTCTGCCCTGTGTGTGTGCAACTCTTAAATTATAAATGCACTGCAATGATGGTGAGTGAAAACTATCGTTTCTCTCACAGCACATCTACTGACAGCTTTTTTGGGGGAGATGGGGAAAACAAGGTTTAATAATTTAGTATTTCCTTACAGACAGACTGTAGAACATGTGACAATACAGAATCAACTCCAGCAGGTTCTGGAAACACAGAGGTCACTGCCAACATCTCCAAGGTAAATAAGCTGCTTGTTGTTGTGGTGGTGGTGGTGGTGGTGGTGTCTCTTCAAGTCATATCATCCTAAAATGGGTTTTCTAGGAATAAGAGTATGCAGCTTGCCCAGGGTCACTCAGTGGGTTTCCATGGTTGAGTAGGAATCAAGCATTGGTCTCCAAAGTTTTGGATGTAAATAATATTATTATTTTGGATGTAAATTAATATTATTAATTTCTTATCTGTCTCTCCTCACAGCTTGAGGTGGGTAACAACATTACTAAAACACATAATCATTTAAAAACACTCCATAGAATACACATATTAAAACATATGTTCATAAAATACATATTAAAATGCACAAAACAAAAGTTAGACATAAAGTGGATGTTTAAAATTCATCATTAAAACTGTCTGGGGAGGCCTGTAAAATCTACAACAGGCATGGGCAAACTAAGGCCTGCAGGCTGGACATGGCACTATAGGTGCTTATGTCTGGTCCTCAAAATTTCCCCCTCCCTCTGAGCATAAGGATGTGGTGGTTTGCCATGTATTTGTGCCGAAAGGGCAAGGGAGGCAGGCATGCGGTGGCTGGGAGCCCTCTGTGGTGCTCTCAGTCACTGCATGCCTTCTTTTGGCCCTCCTGGAATTAGGATAGGGAGAGCAGCCCTGTCCTGATGCTGGGAGATGCCCGGCCCGAGCCAAGAGGCAAACAGCAGTCAAAGTGGTTCCAAAGCCACCTCGTCCACTGCCTTCCTCTCCCTTTTCCTGGCATTAAGAGGAGGCAGGGCCCTGTCCTGATGTCAGGAGAAGCCTGGGCTAGGCCAAGAGGCAAGCGGCAAGTGAAATGGCTCCAAAACCACCTTGCCCACTGCCTCCCTCTCCCATATTCCAGCATCAGGATCTGCAATGTAGAATGAATGCAGTGTGACACCACTGTAACTTGCATGGCGAAATGCTTTGGAATTATGGGAATATGGGAATATAGTTTGATGAGACATCATGGCTCTTTGGCAGAGAAGTTTAAAGACCTTGTAAAACTACAACTCCCATGCTTTCATAACATTGAGCTATAGCAGTGCCAAACTCCATTAATTCTAAAGTGTTGGTGTGCCCTTATTCCAGTACTCAAGCAGTACACCACATTGGCTTACAGGGGTGGAATTTCCATGTAGTTTTTTTAATGGCAGTTGCTGGAGAAGGTCATGTTTCATCTGAAGACCACATTGTTCATTTTGTAAAAGAATAAAAAGCATAATGTCATATGATAGAATTCAATACATCTTTAATATCACAAGTATTAATTCAGATGAAATTAATTTTTGCCAATGTGATATAATCTGGAATCTTTGGTGACTCATAATGATCATAGGGAAACTCTTTTGCTCACAAGAAGTCTCTTCTGATCCTCTAACATCTTTCTGGTGATCACTAGTAGTACATTCCCAGTTATTCAAAATGCTTTTGCTTACAAAGAGGTTGGGTAGCGAGGCAGCCTAATTATTCTGTGCTTTCAGGATGATTTGTCTTCACTATCTAATATAAATAGACAGCACCAAAAGGAATAAATATAATTGCGTATTGTAATGATTTAACCTCAGAAGAGGTTGTCTGACTTCAGCTTGAATAAGCCTGCAGGAAAGGGGGGGGAAGCATACTCATTGGCTACAGCATAGGAGACACTTCTCTCCTTATTACTAACTTCCTCTATGATCTGGGACAAAATATCAAAATACTGATAAGTGCCACAGAAGCAAATTTACTTAATAAGCTGAAAGTGTGCAGAAATACAAACTCCTCTAGCTATAAATTAAGAAAAGCAATACAAGTGTACTTCACACATCCTTACAACTGTGTTTGGAAGAGCAAGTAATGCAATGCTAAACTGAAGCTACAGAGAAGTAAAAATCCCCTTTTATGTATATAGAATGCTGTTTCTATTAATAATGTAAGATCTGCCGTAGTTTCTCAGCCAATGATCCAGTGATGCAAAAAGCCTGCAAAAGCTACACCAATCATTATATGCTATTTCCCCCCAAGCAGTCAAAGTGCTTCATATACTTTATCTCAGAAATCCATGCAAGAACCCTCTCTCATGGCAGTGTAAAAATATTACAGCACTATTGTGCTACAACTAAGCATAAGTGGGAGTTGAGGCTAAGCAGCAGTGGCATATCTGAGCACATCTGGTGAGTTCATCATTTTGCTGAGATATGAACTGGAGACCAGTTCTGACTTGTATGGAACAAGACTTGATCCTTGTCCCTTTTAAAGCAGCAGTGCAGACCCTAAACGTAGACCATTCCATTTGAATTATGCGTGGACACTGACATGCTTTCTAGTGGAAAATGTGGCATCTGTCCTGGCATTTGGCTTTTGAGCAATTGTTTTCATTTTCTGGTGATACGGTCAAACTGAAAAACAGGCAGTTGGTATTTGTAGAAAGCATTGAGTCCAAATGTTTATTAATGTTGTCTTTTTATCCTCATCCTAAATTAATTCTTTGTGTGTTAGAATTATTTATTCAGGTTTAGCAAATTTAAGCACAATTGGGTTATTTATATAGTTTATTCTGTGCATGAAACATAGTTTCATATAGATGTCTACCTTCTTGTGTATAGACAAAACTGTGTACAGGAACGTGAATGTACATATGAGCATTCAAACACTGCCTAATGCCCAGAGTACTATTTCAGACCTTGACATAAGTAGTGCTAAATCCTGTAAAGGGCTCTGTAACCATGCTTGATTTAACATGGCTATAGAGCTCTTGTCATTAGGAACCCGGGTTTATGGTGCTTTCCATTCATGGAACCTCTGATCAGACAAAGCATGATTTTTTTGAAATGTTGTCCTGGTGTGTAAAACATTAAAAGTGAGGTTTAGGCTTGTACAATTCAGGTGGAGGATGATCCATTTCTGGCATTTGAATTTCATATCCAGATCCATTTTCGGGAGCCTCCTGAAAATTGGCTAATGGAAAAATCTGTTTTTGGCTAGGCAGCTGAAAGATCCGATAAGATCCGGCCCATTGGCGGCAATGGGGAACTTACAAGGCTCCCCTTTCCATTCCTGGGATTCTTTCCTTTCTGCCTTTCAGGGGAGTCTGGGTTTGAGGAAGGGGGTCAAGGAAGCACCCTTCCTGGGACCCTTTCCTTTCTTCCTTTCAAGGGAGTCGGTCTGAGGAACGGGACTAAGGAAGCACCCTTCCTTGGCTGCTTTTCTTTCTGTCTTTCAAGTGAGCCTGGGTTTGAGCAACTGAGTTAAGGAAGCACTCTTCCTGGGCTTCTTTTTTTCTTCCTTTCAAGGGAGCCTGGGTTTGAGAAACAGGGTTAAGGAAGCACCCTTCCTGGGAYCCTTTCCTTTCTTCCTTTAAAGGGGGCCTGAGTTTGAGTAAGCACTCTTCCTGGGCTCCTTTTCTTTCTTCCTTTGAAGGGAATCCGGGTCTGAGAAATAGGGTTAAGGGAACATCCTTCCCAGGCTCCTTTTCTTTCTTCCTTTCCAGGGAGCCTGGGTTTGAGCAACTAGTTAAAGAAACACCCTTCCTGGGCTCCTTTTCTTTTTTCCTTTCCAGGGAGTCTGGGTTTGAGAAATGGGGTTAAGGAAGCACCCTTCCTGGGCTCCTTTTCTTTCTACTTTTCAAGGGAGTCAGGGTTTGAGAAACAGGGTTGAGGAAGCACCCTTCCAGAAACCTTTCTTTTCTTCCTTTCAAGAGAGCCTGGGTTTGAGGAATGGGGTTAAGGAAGCACCCTTCCCGGGCTCCTTTTCTTCCTTTCAAGAGAGCCTGAGTTTGAGGAACGGGGTTAAGGAAGCATCCTTACTGGGCTCCTTTCCTTTCTTCCTTTCAAGGGAGTCTGGGTTTGAGAAATGAGGTTAAGGATGCACCCTTCCTGGGACCCTTTCCTTTCTTCCTTTCAAGAGAGACTGGGTTTGAGGAATGGAGATAAGGAAGCACCCTTCCTTTTCTTCCTTTCAAGAGARCCTGGGTTTGAGGAACAGGGTTAAGGAAGCATGTGCCGTGGATTCCTGAATAGAAGGGAAGAAGCCAAGCTTGGCAGCCACATGGGCTGTTTCAGGCAAAAATACCCCATGGCTGATGAGCCTGTTCTGTTACAGCCGTCCAGAGAAGCTGAACAAGCAGAAGAAGCAGAAGGAAAACAGCTAAAATGGATCCATGCACAACACTAGTGAGGCTTATATGATCTCCCATATACTTATATACACAGTTTTCGCCCAGTGTATAAGCAGGCAAAAGCCTACATAAGCCTTAACTTGCATTGATATCTGCAATCTTATCAAAATACAGGTTACAAAGATAGTATCAGGGCACTATCAGCACTTCCTTGAACAAGCTTCTCTAAACTGCATACAAAATTGCTGCTACTGATGATAATCTACTCTTGAGTTTAGTGTGGCTTACTTTTAGTCAAACATGAATAGGATTGCACTGGAGGTTAATTTCTAGGCTGTTTCTATAGTTCAGTCTTGTTCCTATGATAATCCCCATACTCTTCACTTCTGTTGCCTTCTTCCATGTCAAAATTTCAACTTTGAGCTCCTGGGAGAGGGATCCAATCATTTTTTACAAAAAGTATTGTCATGAAGGATTTGAAAAATAAACAAATAAATACATAAATTTGTTTCTTTTTCTGAAGATCTGTGTTTATTCTAGAATTCCAGTTTTCCTTATGATATTCCAAAAAACACTAATAGCACAAGCAAGTCTTTTCCAGAAAGTCCTTCTGTGGAGACTATCAAAAAAAGGAAATAACAGATCAAGCTTAGCCTAGAAACAGATTTACATTCTTAACTATGAAGTCAATACTGTGACTCCATAATACATTCCACGTGGGCAAGAATGCATAGGATGATCAGATAAACATTTGCAATGGAAACATCAGTTTTGCACTTTCTATCTGTATAATTTTGATTGTGGTTTCATATACTGAAGGCTTTTTTCTCTCTCTTTCCATTGAAGTTCACCATCATCATCCATTTATGGCAAACCACAGTGGAAACCTTCTGATACAGATGACTCGACTCTACCGAAAAATAAATTGAACACCCAGGATGGAATCCAGATCTTTAGCAGTGTGGGAACTCCTCACCACAATCAGCCTAAAATTAAAGATGAGGACTCTGACAGAATCCTGCGCCAGCTGCTGGGGAAAGAAATCTCTGAGGATGCCTGCATGCAAGAAAAGCTGTCCTTAGAATTTCGAGATGTTCGTGCTTCCAAGAGCATGAAGAAAGCTCCCTTGGAGAAAAAGGAGTTGAAATTAGCAAGGCTGAAGCATCTAATGCAGCGATCCCTCAGTGAGTCTGATACAGATTCCAATAACTCTGAAGATCAGAAGAATACACCTGTGAGAAGAATGGAGAAGCCAAGGCCACAGCCCATAGTGGAAAGCTCTGAAAGCACGGAGAATTTGCACCTAATGATTAAGAGGCACACTTTGGCATCAGGTCGCCGGTTCCCTTTTGGAATGAAAGCCTCAAAATCATTGGATGGTCACAGCCCTTCTCCCACTTCTGAAAGCAGTGATCCTGATAATGAGTCCCTGTATCAGACTGGTACCTTATCTCAGAACCAGGAGTCAGGAGATGCTTGCCAGTCAAACCCTGAGACCTCCACTTCTCACAAAGTTGCCACAAGTCCCAAGAGCGCACTCAAATCACCATCTTCAAAGCGCAGAACTGCCCAAAATTTAAAACTCAGAGTGACGTTTGAGGAGCCTGTGGTACAGGTGGAGCAAACAGAAGTTGGTTTAAATGGGGAAAGGGACAAAGAGAGGAGTAAGGTCCTTCAGCGGCCACCCAATGCTGAAACTGGGGAGCAGCAGAAACGACCATTTGGAACATTTCGGTCCATAATGGAAACACTGAGTGGCAACCAGAACAATAATAATAACTATCAGACTTCGAGCTTAACCAAGACCTCATCACCTTTTACCTCATTAGGAAGGAAAGCCACAGATAGCAAGGGAAATTCAGCTAACTCAGCAAAAGGAAAAAATAAACCAGTGAGTGTTTAATAGGGGGCAGAGGGAATTTTTTTCAAATTTTAATTAATGGTCTTTTAATATTATGTGTATGCACAATCATTAAAACTGTATCAGCACATCACAACTTGGACAGCCTAGGTCAAGGAGCAGGTAATGGGGATGTCTGGGAGGAAATAATAACATAACCAAAAGAGCATCATGTGAAAGTGCCTAATGAAGGGATCAAATGTGTCCATCTAAGAAAATCTTCCGTGTGGAAGGGACACCAAGGGTCATCCAACCCAACCTCATGACATTACAGGAACCCACCACTAAAGTATACTTGAAATCTGCTATGCCACTTTGGACTAAATCCTGAGTAACTCCATTGAGATGAGCCAGCATGGTATAGTGGTTTGAGCGTTGGATTATAACTGGAGACTAGGGTTTGCATCCCTGCTTAGCCATGAAAACCCACTGGGTGGGTGACCTGGGGCAAGTCACACTTTTTCCGTTTCAGAGGGTAGCAAAGACAAACGAATCTGAACAAACCTCACCAATAGAGCCCCAAATTGACCTTAGAGCAGTGTCTAAAGTATGAGATTAGACTATCTTTGAACGCCCATTTTTTTTGTTAAACCATCTACAGAACCAAGCAAAGTGTGACATTCTAATTTCTTTTCCTAAATACTCCATCTGGCAGATTATGTAGTAAACCATCCATGTAAACCAGTGGTTCTCAACCTGTGAGTTCCCAGATGTTTTGGCCGTCAACTCTCAGAAATCCTAACAGCTGGCAAACTGGCTGGGATTTCTGGGAGTTGTAGACCAAAACACCTGGGGACCGACAGGTTGAGAACTACTAATGTAGATCGACTTGCAAGATTGACATTTCCTGTGCCACTGAAAAGTTTTCTCTTTCAGATTTTTTGCTGGAAAGTGGAATATTGTTTGAAAGCAGCAATGAATGACTTTAATATAGAGTTGTTTAAAGCTATGGTGGCTATCACCAGTAAACTATTCCTTAATCTATACTGCACACTGTGGAAGAGTACATTACACAGAAATCATGATTTTGAGGTACAGAGTTCAGCATCAGCATTCATGGCAGGGAGGTAGGACACATTCTTACAGAAATTATAGGACTTGGGGAACTAGACAGTAATGCAGCATTACTGGTTGCTGTTAATATGGGAAAAATCAAAGGGATGGCTGCCTTGGGTAGAATGAGAAGGTAATTTTTAAGAATCCTAGTTCCTCCCGTCAAGCCTCTTAATAAACATTTGTGTTGGAAGAAGACCTGCAATGAGCCATTTATAACAAAATATACCAAATCAGAGAGAAGCATGGTGCTTTGTTCAAAGAGGATTATGGTTTGCACAACCTGTACTAAACAAATGGAAATGAAGCATCATAAATTGCCAGTAACGAAAACTGGAAAATATGGGTGAGGAGCATCTTTTCCTCCTTCAATTTCTGTGATGTTTTACTGATAACCTGCAAGTTTCTGGTTTCCCCCACTTTACCCATTGCATGGATGAAGCATTTGTTCTTGCTTTAAAATGCGGGTCATGCTTACATGCTTTCAAATATCCAGTTTGCTTGAAAATATATTGTTTCTCGATGATTTATGGATGTGAGTCACTGCCAGACATCAGTGCTGTTTTAGTTTTACCTGACAAGATTTATGGACACAATTCAAGGGTTTTCAACCTTTCTTCTAAGAGGGGAGAATGCCTGTGTATAGGGGGAGTACAGCCTGGAAGTAATGCATGACAAGTGACAATGTTGCTTGCAATTTACTACTTTGGGAGGGTAATGAGGGCATGGCAAGTTTTGTTTTTCAATATAACATAACAGCTAGTAGTATTGTTATATTTATAACAATATATTTTATATATGACTAAATATATTTTTATATTCAGTCATTGCTTCTAAATGCCTAGAGGTCATTGGGAAATATTTGGATCTTATAATCAATTTTCTATTTTAAGGTGTATTTAAAATGCAGGCAATGTGCTGGTGATGCATTTTAATCTACATGCAACAACTGATGCATTACTGTGGGAAAAGTAATCAGTAATGTCTATTGCTTGACTTTTTAAAAAATAACATTCCTTTGCCCCTTGAAGGAGATGGGAACAACCTTCATGCATGCAAAATTCTGTGTAGGTAGAGAGGAATTGTGACACACATACTTCCAAGGCACTCTAATGTTCCAAGAGCTGCCCCTCTTCGATGCATGTGAGAAGCCTGTTGCATGTTCTTTCGACTGATTAATGCATTGCACTTCCCTAGGCTCCTTACTCCGGCTGTGTCAGTTTTTCCACTAGCATGCTGATTGAAGACCGCCTGTGTAACTATGCATGGTATGTGCTGATGCTGAGTGAAAACGTTGGCTTTTCTATGACTTTTTATGATTATTATCCTCTCATTGTGTGTGCAGCTTATAATTGTTCACAGCTTAAACTAATGAAACGATCGATGGCAATTGTAAAAGAAAATGAAATTTTGATCTCCTAAGAGAAGTAAACAAATCCCTGTTGCAGGCCTTTGCCGATACCCATAACTGAACTAATTTAATGGCTCCAGCAAAAGCATGCATAAAAAAGCACTAGTGCTCATAAATCCAAAAATGCATTTCAGTTCGGTTTGGCAACACACAGTTTCTTGAATAAAAGTCAAGCACCAGATGAGGATGGAAATTAAATTTCCTCTCACGAGCAAGCCAAGTCAAACCTCACTTACACTCTGAAGAGACACAGTGCCCCAATCTCCATTTGCTCATGCCCTTTTTCTTCTACTTGTCAACTGTTGCATTACTTTTCTAATTCAAATATGGTCTTACATAGTCAAAAGTGCTTTTAGTCTTCCATGAATAAAGTTGCAATGACATATACTTCCATGAATGGAAGGTCTTCTTTTGTTTGCAGCAGGAATCAAGATCCAAAGAATGCATCTTTTTGGATGGAGGCAGATTATTTAATTTAATTTAATTTTTACTGTTTCACCCTGAACTACCTCCTATGCTGCTCCGAGCGGTCCTCAGATCATTCCCAGTAGCCTTTGTCATTCTGTAGCGATAATTTATAAATAAGGTTGTATTTAAATATTATTTCTTTCAGAATATGAAAACTGAATGTTAGTCCTGACCAAAATGGTGCCGTTGAAATGCATGCCAGGCTATTTAGTTGTTTCTAGTGTTAACTGTCTTAATTTTGACTCTAGGATCAGATTCAGATGTAGCCACATCATCAGAATTTGTGATAGGCTTGAGGTGACAGAAGACTCTTGTCATCTATTCAAGTATAACATTAACAGATGTGAAGTTTCCATTTGTGGTTTGATCCTAACACATAACTCAAGATCAGTGAGTTTTTCAACTCAGAGTTTGTAACAAGCCAGAATATCTTGGCTTGTATACAATGGATTCAGTGATATCCTGGATTGCACTGGTAAAACACAAACTTCCACCATGAGAAATTGCGTTTAACTCTCACACATTCAACTGATCTTCTGCTGAGGTGCCACCCAAAGACATATAATAGACAAGGAAGATGGAGGGCAGCTACTGACTTCAGGAGAACAATGCCATCTTTTTGGATGTCCAGTGGACCTTTGGAATCCTACATACATCATGGTTGCACAGTATTTTCCTTGTGCAAGCTAGTACTATCTGGGTACTTATCATATGTCAAATGGCCACCACAGTCAAATGGCCACCATATGTCAAATGGCCACCACTTGAACCTTGTAGATAAATGAAGATTTTAATAGGCAATACATAACAGGGTTGCCCTACTCTTTGATGAGAGGTCATGGGAGGTGGCAACCCATTCCTTTGGAGAAGAAGGCAAGGCTTTTGGGGAAAAAAGACCAAACTGTGCCACACAGCTTAGCCTGCTCCTCATAAACCGATCTTCTGGGCCCATAGGTAGTGGAGAAACTTCTGGTTCAAAGACTAAACTTCTGTACATTGAAAGAAGGCACCACATTGCTCTTTACCTCAGGCATCAAAACATGCTAGACTAGTTCTATTATCTAACACATGTTAAAGGATGTGGAGATTTGAATCAGTTAGTGGCCCTACTCAGCCTTAATGTAGTTTACAAAAAATAGATATCCTGGAAGTAATACTAAAATCTTAGTAACATTGAAAAGCCCTGTTCATTCTTTGTTTCCTAATTGGCTACAACTTTCTAGAGGCAAAATAATTCACATTCCTAGTGCCTTGTTAAAATGCACAATACAGTATTCCATCCCATTTGCTTAGTGCTTTGTTGCTTTCATTTTAAAAGGACAGGTCTGTTTTTATCAATGATAGTGCCAAGCAAATGTTTGCAATTATTTTAGTCATGTATTGCCAGTGAATATTTGCTTCCCACGGATTAAGTTATTGTGAAGCATGCCGTGCATTAGAGTGAAAACACGTTTATCTTGTGTGTAAAAAGCATTATGGTAACCCAATTCATAGCAATAGTTGGAGCGAGGGAAGGATTGGTCCCTATTAGGCCTATTTTATTGCTAGGAATGTAATCAAATGATAAGCAGAAGGAGATCTAATTCCGGCTGCTAGTTCCAGCTAGAGTAGACTCTTTGAATTGATGGAGCTTATATATGTGATGATCTTTCAAGTTCACATTGATTCAACATATCTGCTCCAATCAAGCCAAGCAGCTGAATTTAGGGCAAAGACTTTTGTAGTTGCACTACAGTGGCAAATTGCTGAAGCTTTAGGAACTGTTACATCTTGCACTTATAGCCATGCCATTTTGCAAAGGTGCAAAACATATAAACAGCAGAATATTTCTTGTAGTACATATCCCCATCAAGTCCTGTATATTTTTCTTATATAGTGGCATTTATAGCAAAAAGTAAATTTTATATTAGCACAGATAGGGCAGAAGTAAATTTGATATATTTCTAAGATCTGCAGCCTTACACTATATAAGACATTGTGCATCTGTCTCCTAGGATAGCCCAGAATCAAGACGATGTTCTGCATTTTGTTTTAGATTTTTCTGGATAGAAACAGTGGGAACCCTTTAAATTATTTTTTTTAAAAAAAATATTATGTAAAGTGGAGGCTGAGGCCACTATGGCAGATTGCAGTCTCTGAAGATGAGAACACATTCTGCACCCTTTCAACATTGTGTCTAAACATAGTCCTTTTGCTTTATCCTTTAAGAATTTTATGCTAGCCCTCTAATGACCAAACCTACTGTTTTTTTCACAAAGGAGAAATGGCTGCTTGCCTGTCACTTAGTGATAAGCGTTATGTACATGTTGGGTTTGATACAGCCATGCCCTTTGGGAATGAGATACTGTAGACTATATCTACACTTGACAGAACTATTTGATCATATGTTAATTGATAAGGATCCTGTGAATTCCTGGAATTTTTTAGTCCTTCGAATGCTCTGCTAGATTAAATACACTCCCCTGAACCACACCATTCACTAAACTACAAATACCAGGGTTCCATAGGAGATAGTCTGTTTGGAGTTGTATCAAATTGCTATAATTGTGCATTGTTTGCACATTGTCAGTTAAGGGGTCTTTTGGAAAAAGATAGGGAAGTCTTTTTTTTTTGCTTTGAGTCCCCCAGGGGTGAGAAAAGCGATATAGAAATACTGTAAATAATAGGGAAGTGATTTCTTCCAATTCCCCTGTGCAGCTCCTTCTGTCCATTCCAAAACTATTGTGGATAGTCAAGGGACACCATGGAAAGTAGTGCTGAGGGTGAAAAAAATAGGAGGCATTGAAAAAAATTACTTCCCTCTGGTTCCTGCATGTCGTGTATCTGGTGAGCAGAACTATAGCCCAGGGATGGTCAGTCTAGATTTTCCCACTACCAAAGGATGTCAGGATAAAACAATTTATTTTATCACAGTGTTGGGACATGTGGGTATTCCTCTCTCATTATGGGAAATTGCCTAACATTCTGAAGAAAGTTAAGGCACTTCCACAAATCCAAATGGTGTTTTGGAAAGCTACACAGCTTTCCAAGAAAAGCTATAAAGCCTTCCTAAAAGATGGGGGTGGGGGACACAAAGAATGCTACACAGCTTTAAACATTGCACAAGAAAACAAGAACAGCACCTAAACTCTCAAAACAGTACATTGTTCATAGAACAGACAAAGTACATACACAAAGAGTCAGATAATATATTAATATGTAAGTTTTTGCGCAGTTTTCATAGGGGCATATATGAAAAAAACAACAAGGTTTTTTTTCTTGGAAAGCTGTGCAGTTTCTTAAATTGCCCAGTCCTCAATGTGAGCAGGTTTTGTTATGCTGAGAACAAAAAAACTTCCTACAAGATTGGAAAGAGCTATTTTTTAGAAATATTTCTTCCCACAGTTTTCCCAGAGGATAAGGAACTCCACATTTTGAGATCAATTGGATATTGTTGAATAGGCTTGCACATTCAACCCTTTTTATTGCCCTACCCCTTAGCTTTGTCGAAGGCGCATGTGTCAAACACAAGGTTCACAGGCCAAATACAGTCCACCATGTCATTTTACGTGCCCCCCTCCCCCCCAGATGCTGGACTACAACTTCTGTATTCTTCATTATTAGACATCAAGATTAGAATTTATGGGAGTTGTAATAAAGTAACATCAGGAAGGCTGCAGTTTGTTTTGTTTATTTACAGTATTTATTTACAGCATTTATATTTAACCCTTCTCACTCCACAGAGGACTCAGGGCCGATTACAATGTAGATATACATGGCAAACATTCAATGCCATAGACATACAATTTATATAGATAGGCACAGAGACAATTTAACATTCCAGCTTTCCGGCTTCATGAGGGTATGCTCGATTCCGGCCACAGGGGGAGCTGTCACTTCACCATCCACTTGTGATACTGGGTCCTTCATGGAGCACTTCCTCATTCTTACTCATGCTGCTGGGAGGTTTTATGATGTCGTAAATTAGCCTCCTCACATAAAGCGGTACCTAAATTTCCAACTTGACAGATGCAACTGTATTTCAGGCTGCATAGGTCAACAGCAAGCTAGACTATTAATGATCAGGTGCTCACTCCAACCTGGGCTGGCTTTGAACTCATGACCTCTCGGTCAGTAGTGATTTAATTCAGCTGGCTACTAACTACCTTTTCCACAGCCCGGTTTAGTCAGGATAGTGGAGTTTGAACTTACATGCAAGGCTTGTGGTTATGATGTTTGACTTTAAAATGTCCTTTAGCCACAAGTGGTGTTGGGTTGCAGTTCACATTATCCCTAGTAGTCATGGTGATAATTAAAAGTGATGAGTGTTATTCAGTAACATGTGTTTACCCAAATCGAGTAAAAACTAAAGAGCTGACCCTCTGTATCCACGGACTCTCTGCTCATGGA